TTGCCACCCATGTTGGAGCCAGAGGCATCAAAGCACGGGCAGAAGCGGTCGTACTGGACGTTGCCTGTCTTGGTGGTGATGGTGGTGCCACTTCCACCGTCATTGTCACAGTCGGTATACAAACTTCGGCACACAGCGACACTCACCAGACCACCACTCTGGCTGGGTCCATGACACCCGACTGTGAAGGGGGCCTGATCTTGAACATGGTAGTGGTACACAGGCGTTGATGAGTCCGGTGTCGGGCCAATGTGAGCACCACATGCATCCAGCAATGGGAGTCTCTTCAAATCATAGTCTTCCCACTTGCCATAGATGCCGTGAGAGGCAACATCCCCTACTTTGGTCGAATGGCCACCCGACTGGGCATACAAGCAGCTGAAGCTCTTGTGGAAGTGGTAGTCATTGGTGTGCCCTCCACACGGGCCGACCACGCCAAAGTATGTGTTGCCTGCATGGAGCATCAGGACGGCGGGGGTCAACACCACCACTGCTTTGTGCAAATTACAGCAACTGCTGGTTGCAAATCTGACCCCCTTCTCCCCCAAACCCTCATTCAACAATACCCAAACACTGTCAACCCTTCGTACATCTTCGTACCTTCAAGACGAGGGAATTCGATGCCGCAAGCATGCGCCACCTTCCTCTCCGCAATGCCAATGTCAGTTCCACCTTCCGTGTCGTAAACAACCTAAGCTCGCTCCACATCATCATGAACCATGGGAAGAACAATAGCAAGAACGCAACCTCTCGCTGGTCAACAAGTCCAAAGGTCTCCATTTCCTACCCATTTACAGCAACTGCCAGTCGAGTCCAGAAAAACAAGTCTCAGTCTCAGCCAAATCTTAATGCATCCTGGTGGCTGAAGGAGTAGAGCAGCCCCATGTGCGGATGATGTTGTCCTGCTGTGAAGTGAACCCAGCTTCAAAAGGGCCGTAGATGTGTGCTCCACTGCTGATCGTATCACCAGCTGACAAGAGCTCATGAGCATAGGTCTCAGCTCCTGCCACTGATGTGCAGCCGACATCTCCCAACAGAGGTGCCGCGCACGGTGGGCTGCTGCAGGAGGGGTTCTGACAAGTGGCACCTCCACCACTCGGCCCAGTACCTCCGCTCCCGCAGCCAGCAGGGGGTGGGCCGATACCAGGACCCCAGGTGACTCCTTGACCAGAGCAGTCCTGGCCCAAAGCACAGGCTGCAGCCGTCAACAGGATTGTCTTCTTCAGCGCCATGATTGCTGAGGAGCCACGTCGCCTAGTATACAACTTGAGATGAAAGGGTTTCACATGGAAC